ATACATACATACATACCACACATGTATAGATACATAGATGCATAGATGCATTGAAGAAAAATAGGTACATACATACACACATGCATACATACATACATACATACATACATACATACATACATACATACATACTAGCATAGCATAGCATAGCATAGCATTACATTACATTACATTACATTACATTACATTACATTACATTACATTACATTACATTACATTACATTACATTACATTACGTTACCATACCATACCATACCACACCATACCATACATGCATACAAACATACATACATAGCATAACATAACATAACATACATACGTACATGACACATGTAGACAGACACAGAGACACATGCCACACATTGAAGACCATGAATGTATCTAGGAAGACAGATGCACGAGAGAGCACGTAGGAAAGCAAAGGCCAACGAAGGAAGGGCAAATCAAACATACACACACAACACGTATACGCATACTGCATATATGTAAAAAATATACATGTATATGTTACATGTTGTTGCACACCATAACCTATTAATTGGGAACCTGCCATGATGGCACCCTCACCGCCGATGCCTGTACACCCATAGCTGCCACCTGGACCACTTTGTCGTAGAGAAACCTGGAGTTTCGCTTTGTAAAACATCGGCTCAAAATGGATTAGCTTCTAAGGGTTTGATTCCTTGCCAGAGGTGGCCTTGCAAGGAAATGGACAGGGCCCTGTACCCTGGTGAAGAGGTGTCCCTTCATGAAGGTGCCTTGGCGGATCTATCAGTTCTTTAGGCGGACCTCGAAAAGGAAAACCATGCAGGAGAAGAAGCATCCTGAGCACAAGGACCCCTAGACACCGTCTCTGTTCCGAAGACTCAAACCCCAAAATCTGATTCATGACTGCTTGCGGAGAGACCAGAAAGTGCGACTCCTCTCCGGATTGGATGTCAGAAGCGCATCTTGCTGGCGAGTGAAGTCGATGGGCTCCTGCACAGGCTTGACTTAGACAAACAGGCACGATAGTATGGTATAGTATAGTATGGTAGCTACTATAGTACAGTATAGAACCGTGAAATACAGTATAGTACAGTGAAGTACAGTACCGTACAGTCTAATCTGGGCTGGTCTAGCCTGGACTAGTCACTAGTCTTGTCTGTACGTAGTGTGGTAGAGTCTGTTGTACAGTCTATAGTAAAGTACCAAACAGGTGACCATGGCAGCATATCCGCTACGGTGTGCGACTTGATGTTGCAAAAAGCCATGTCCTTCTTCAGATAAGGGTTGCCCAAGCCAACACTCGTCATTGTGTTGCGGCGCCTTGGTTGCATGGGACCAGCGACGTGAAGCTCGAGGTCAACTGCCCGAAATTATCCGAAATTACTTTGATTTCGACTTTCGAAACCCTAAGCCCTAAACCCTAAACCCTGTCTGGTACACATGGAAACAGCCCGGCGCCCGGCTTGCCAACCACGAAGCCTCAGCGATCAAGGCCAAAGATGCACAACCACTACTTGGAGCTTCATGGGTAGTTATAAGGCTCCTTTAAGGGATCTATAAGCGGGTTCTATAAGGGCTCTTTAAGGGATCCTATAAGGGGTTTATTAAGGGGTCATATTTGGAGGTTCATGGGTAGTTATAAGTAGGGTTATAAGCAGGGTAACTATAGGTATAACCTATATTAGGGGACTTATAACTCCACTTATAATTACCCATGAACCACCAAGTACAGTCCCTGACGCTGTGGACGGGGACGATGCCAGGCAGAGAAGCGGCAAAAGCGGCTACATAGAAGGGGGGTTTCCGAAAATAGGGGACCCTAATGTAGTACCCCAAATAATAGGATCCTTATTATAAGGACCCTAAAACAAGGTACCCCAATTTCAGGACAATCCCATATCGCTGGAGCTGCAGCAGAGGAGCGGAGAGTGGGGACATCCGTGCCACGTGTGGGCAGAACGTCGGTGCTGCTGAAGCTGATGTGGAAGGAACACCTTCGAGTGGCAGACATCGATCTTGACAACTGAACCACGCAAAGAATTAAAGCTTGACTGTCCTGACTGAAGCAACGCTGCCCAACTTGTTCTCACGACCAGAAGAAGAGGTCTCATACTGAGCATCCGGCGTAGCGTTGGTCTGGACAACGACCATGCCCCGACCTAACCAGCACACTTCAGCATTCCTCTTACTCAGTAAGACCTCAAGAAACTCTTAATAGCAACAAGCCTGCAAACTTCCTGGCCTGTACAAGGTTGGTTGCCATCCTCTGCTGGCAGCGCCTGCCGTTGGTCCAGGAAGTGGCGAAGAGGTGGGACTATAGCATGCGAAAAGGCTCGGGTTCAATGTTACGGTCTGACCTCTTGTCTAAACACAGCAAGCAAGCTCGCTTTGCCATGCGCAGTGACCATTTGCAAATCTGTCCCGAAAACCATCCGATAGTGTCCACGATTGTCCACGACTGCTTGCCCGGAATGTTAAACACGGAACTGAACATGACATCATGTCGGTTCCCTTGCCGGGATATACACCATTTCGAGCATCAGCGTCAAAAAGATGGATGGAAATTAAGTGTTTTCCCAGCTTCCCATGCATCCCGGTATATAGGGCAGACACGAGGGCGCGCTTGATTTATGGAAACGATCATGTAGACCGGTGACCCTGAACTCTTAACCCCTAACCCCTCGAACCTAAACACCAAAATCCCAAAACAATAAAACGCCAGAGCCTCAAAACCCTGATGGCCCCAAGATTCAAAACAATTAACCCTGAACCCCAAACCCTCAATTCCCTAAATCCCACAGCCTTAGTCAAACCCTAAATCCAAAGGCATCCCCTAAACATAAACCCTAGATCCAAGAATACAACCTAAGCACCTTAAACCCTAAACCCGAAACCCTAGATCCAAGAATACAACCTAAGCACCCTAAACCCTAAACCCTAAACCCCAAACCTTTGATCCAAGAATACAACCGAAGCACCCTAAACCCTAAACCCTAAACCCTAGATCCAAGAATACAACCTAAGCGGAACTGTATCAGCCTCCAAGTCCGCCAGCAATTGCTCCGTATGACCTCCTGGCCTAGGAAGTTTAGGATTTAGGGTTTAGGGTGTAGGGTTTAGGGTTTAGGTGAAGCTTCGGTTTGTGGCTCACTCGTAACTTCAGCGTGCAGGGCTTCAGGTTTAGGATTTGGTGTGGTGGGTTGTTGGAGGTTGGGGATTGGGGCCAGTTTAGGGTTTTCGGGATTGGGATCTAGGGCATCCTGATCAGTCGATGGGAGTTTGAAAAGCGAGTAGCAAGTATCACCCAGTACATGTTTCTTTCGTCCGGCACGAGTGGCTGTAGCACAAAAACAACGGGCGTCGGTGTGGACAAAGGTCACAGAAGAGCTCAGGCTTTACTGAAAGTGACCAAGGGCACGACTCGCTGTGACTTGCCATCGCATCATGACAGCATTGAGCCCCGGGCAGGTTTATCCAGTTCCAATCGGAGCTCATGGCGCCATATGCACGGCAGCACTACAGTCTATGCTGGTGGGCATATGATCTTCTTCTGTGTGTCCGCGCGTGTGTTGCAGACACTTCTGCTACCTGCTCCCTCGGCTCCTGCTTTATCGCTATCGGTGCAGCTACGCTGCCACTGCTGCTGCTTCTGCTAATGCTGCTGATGTAGCTTCAATTTTCACCAGGCTCTGCTTACGACGAACTGCTGCTGATGATGATGATGCTCGTTGTTGGTGCCGTTTGGTTATAGTGCTGTTACTGCATGAGCTGCTGTCCTCGCAAATATTATATTGGGCCTACAGGAAGCTGGCTCCCGGTTATCTCACTGTCACGAGCAAGTGGCGAAGTCACTACGTCCTACGTGTCCATCGCGCACTCGATGATGTAGGTATCGAGTGTAACATGGCTTGCCTGATTGGTGACGAAAACGACGGATCAAAGGTTGTACAATTCGATGTAGACGGCAGTTTAGCAACAAAGTCTTACGAGACACTCGGCACACGAGAGCCGCAAGGTGGTGACATGTATTGCATGACATCATCCATGATGCACTGGATCTAACTATACAACCTCATCTCTATCGCAGCTGCATTTGACCGCTTTAACTGCTTTTAGATTGAAAAATCAGAAGAAGGAATGCAGTAGTATATGACATGATGGGCGACAAGAAGCAGAACACAATGGGGAATGTCTCGACGTCGGACCGCATGCTCAAACATACCGACACGCACTCGTGAAACAGAACGTGTGTTTTAGAAATGTTTAGAACAAGAAAGGATACTGCAGGCATCAAGCGAAAATCGACAAAATGAACTGAATGCGTCATCCGACTCTGCAGATGCAAGCACATGCATACGCACTAAGATGAAGACGCTTATGCTGGCATGTCGTTCCTCCTCGTATGCAAGCAAATCCCAGCAGAAATCGCTGATCCTTCTCCTGGATGATCCACCGAATGGCAGACTGGACTTGTTCAGAAATGGCACAACAGAGCCAACAGGCAGGTGGGCGGGAGGGGCCCAGTCGGATGACTAACGATGATCTTGGCCCTCATCCTTGTCATCCCCAGTAGCATCAGTAACATCTTCAGAGTCAGTCATTAAGATGAACTGCAAACTGTGCCCATCAGGTTCGTTACAGTCATTCTCACCACACCATGATCAGGACTCCAATCAGAACCATGCAAATATCTTCCTGACACTGAACCTTAAATTGGATGTCGAACTCTCCTGTCATGCTTCACGAGAATGGTACCGCCCCAGCGAACCCAGGCAGCAAAGAAATGAGCTCAAGTGTTTTTGCTTGGCCACCTGAAAGGGTCCAAACGGAACAGGTCCGCCGGACGTGCATAACGACACGAATTCTGACGGCAGCCTTCCTGCTGGAAAGACCTGTCCTTTGTGAGCCACTTGTCGGCTTGCACAGGTGTCAACAGCGGATAGGCATCAGAAACAGCTGACTCGCCTCATGCGAACAAGTCAATAGCTGAGACTGATGGAAAAGTCATGCGACAGTGAAACACCTACCAGTAACATGCAGGGGCCACAACAAAGCAGAGCAAGAGTGGCGACCTTTGGCCGCCCTGACCTGCGAAGCCCGGAGTTCTAACATCGCACGCTTCGTGAGACTCCTGCAAACGAAGCGGAATGGGATGAAGAAGGAGAGCAGCCAGCTGTCTAGCGAACCTGGCAATGCACCAAGCAACGGCAGTGCGGAAGAAGCGCAGCTTACTGCAAGATCTTCCCCTGCCCCTGGTCCACTGGTCCTCCTCATCTTGCCAGCCGCCATACGCACCCTCATCCGGCCCCTGAACCCTGAAGCCTCAACCAACAACCCAACAAAAAACCCAATGAAACTGTCAAGCCCCACCAAAAAAAGCAAATTCAAGAAACGAAGATGCTCAAATCCCACCTCTGTGGCAGAGGCGGGCCTCGTCTTCGCCTCCGCCTTGCATTACTATAGCATTATAGTATGATAGTGCTACGGTATTATAGTATTATGGCATACTAGTATAACAGTATTACAGTACCATCGTATTATAATATTATAGTATGATAGCGCTACAGTATTATAGTAATATGGCATAATAATATAATAGTATTACAGTACCATAGTCTTATAGTATTGTAGTGTTAGCATATGCCCCTCAAGTCACCAGCGACAAACACAAAAGGTTTTAGAGCTTCGGGTTGAGAGCTCTCAGGGTTTAGGGTTCAGGATTGAGAAATAGAGTAACTTGGAGGTTCATGGGTAGCGATAAGTGGAGTTAGAAGTCCCCTAATATAGGGTATTGTAACTATAGTTACCCTACTTAGAACCCTACTTATAACTACCCATGGACCTGCAAGAAGGGTTTAGGGTTTTAGGGTTAAGCCCAGGGGGTCTGTTGTAGGGGGCTTTATCCATAACTGCTGGGGGTCTTTGTGTATGTCAGAGGGCCACTTTCCCCTTGATTCGGGCGTCGTCCCGGCTCCCAGGCCCTCAGAAAGTTTCTTATCGCCCCTGTAGGATTCGCGGATTTCAGAGCCCGGAGCCCCCGAACTTTGAGCCGCAACGTACGATCAAAAGGCACCCCCCCCCCCCTGTCGGCTTGTTGTTAATTTGAAGCCGCAGTCAGGTAAAACCCCAAACCCAACCACTATATTGAAGCCGAAATCCGAAATCCCGAAATTCGGCCCCTGCTACACCAAAGCCAGCATCCTGGCGTCCCTGACTTCAAAACGCTTGAAGTATTGAGACCCTCCACGCTTGAACCAATCCTCAAACCTCAGTTCTTCAAGCCCACAATCCTCAAACTCCCCAAGAACCTGGCTCCAGCCTGAGACGCTGAAGCCCTAAAATCAAGCTCGATACGCTGAACCGCCCGAACTCCAAACTTCCGAACCCCGGAACCCCCGAAAACCCTGAAGTCCCTAAACCTCAACCCCGAAAACACTGGAAACCCTAAACCCTGAACCCTAAAACCCTTAAAGGAAGGATCTAGACCCCTCAATGCTCGCCTGCAGCCCCCCTAGACTTCCTGAACCCCTGACAGAGCCCTGAGACCCTAAACATAAAACTGCCAAAACACTGCAACTTCACAAACTGGACTCTATACATAGACATATACATATACATATACATATACATATACATATACATATACATATACACATACATATACATACA